TCGTTATGTACCCCTCCAGTACAATGACGAATATATGGTTCAATCAGTCGAAAATGTTAGACGTATTCAGTGTCATTTTCAATGAAGAACAAATGACTTTCGATTTATTGTTAAAGATTTATGTGAATATAATTCAACACTAGAATTAGGTCGAATATCGATTGGAAATACATTCTGCACTATTACTCCCTTCCTCGCCGGAAATTAAATGACATACTGTACTCGATGTTGGCGTTTAGGTCATATGAGAGATAAATGTGATCTGGTACACCCTCGTTGTCGTATCTGTCTTAATAATCTTATTGATGGTCAAACACATGATTGCTCGAATGTGGTTCGTTGTGCTCAATGTGATGGTCACCATCATTCGTTATCTAATGAATGTGAAAAGGTCGCAGAATATCGATTCAAATTAAAAGAACAAGTTAATAACGCAATATCAACAGGCAAATTACATCGATTAGTACCTCAAGATCGTGCTCAGCCGATGCAATTTTAGATGAAGCAAAATGAATTTTCCCCACTACCATCGCTTACGTCTCGTATTACTCCATGGAAACTAGTTTCAGCACAACCATCAGTAACAAGTAATATGAATGGAAGTGAAGATACAACAAAAATGTTGTTCTCGATAAATTAAAACATTCTAGATATGAAGGATAATACTCATCGTATGGATGAAAAATTAGATCGTATCAATGACAAGATTGATCAAACAGCTCTCGATACAGAACTAAATCATGAAACACTGATAAAATTAATGCCTACACTCATATCGATAGTTGGTAATTTTATTTGGCCGGTGACGAATCACAATGTTGCCGGATTAAGAGAAAAACAACTGCAATTACAAAAAGTCTTCAATGATTTGGAAGTACTACTATCTCATCTAAAATCGTATTATACAGCTCGACGAAAACGCAGTACATCTCCACCACCACGACTCGCTCCATCTCAACAATCGTCAAAAGCGTCTAACAATACTCCGAACAATGAATCTGATCAGTTTTGACCAAAGTTAGCGAGTTATGGAATACATCTCGAATACCGCATTTCAATCTTTTCCACCAACATAGAACAAATAAAAGTCGAGGTGTATGTGTAGCCATAGGAAAACAATTAACAGGCTCAAGAATAGATTTTAATATTGAAAACACAGTTATTGTTGATGTTAACGAGTTTTCTGAGAAAATTGGAATAATCGCTATTAACCGGCCGGCAGGTCAGATCAGGTTGTTAGAAGAGTTAGAGCCATACATCATTGAAAA